TTCTTTGGAATCTTTATTATATAATTCCTGAAAATTGGCTTCCTCATCCGAATCATCTACCTGCAAAAAAAAAAAAAGTTCTTAAATAGAAGCTTTTATAAAAAAAAATAATTAAAAATGATAATAAATAAAAATAAAAACTCTAACCCTGTAACTAATTAAATTTTCCTAATTTTCAACTTTTTGAACACAATAAAGTAAGCTTTTGTTCATTTGACGATGCTGCATTTTCAATACCCATGGAGTAAGTCAATTTTTAAGAATTATATTAATTTGATTAAAATATCTATTAATAATATTTGGTAATCCAACTGTTGGATTTTGGTTGGTTTGTTCTTCCCGTTCAAATTGTTCTTCCTTATTGAATTGTAGTTGAATTTGAGTATCTAATTCATACAATGTAGTTGAAGTATTAATTGATCATTTGATTAAGGAATTATAGCTTTCAATATGCTGCATTGATTGAATTCCACCATTAAAAGATTTATGAGTGTAACATAACACCCAACCAGTTATATCAACTCCAAGGACACATTCAAGATACTTCCACGCTTCTGAGTACTTCATAAGTAGGCCATGCCATCATTTTTTAAATTTGTTTTCAGAAAAACTATTTTAACACTTATTCTATGCTGTAATAAAATCAGGATACTCTTTGCGAAGCTTTCCACTTAAATTTTTCTCAAGATATTTACATATATACCATATACAGTAGTTATGTTTGGTTGTTGGAAAAGTTTTGTAAATTGCCACAGTCATAGCAGGATTGGTATCTGTGAATAATACTTTTGGTGCAAGGCTATTAGTAGCATGTAATAAGCATTCCAGAATCTACTGATAAGTTTCTTTTGTCTCATCAGAGATGACAGCTGTTGCAACCAATTGAGAGCATACATGGTTATCTACAACAATAGTGAGGGATAAATACATATGATACCTATTGGTTTGGGCCATATTGTTATTGATTGCAACATCATAGAACCTTCACTATAAATCAATCTGTGATGGTTGCATCCAAAACAATCCAGTAAGGTGATTATCCTCTCCTTCTAATATCGCCTCAACAAACCATCCATATTCATCACGTTGTACTTGCATTAATTTTTTATAGATTGTTGTGGTATCAGTCTTTACAAAATTTTTATTACGTCAAAAATGACAGATTGCATTGTATACATTCTTTGGATGAATTATATGATCAAGGAACGTTTTTGAAGTTCTCGAATGATTGGACTAGCACCACAACTGATTTTAATGAGAAATTCAATTTCCTCAAGCATTTTTAAGCTGAGACACTGAAGCTTTGACCCTGTATTTTGTATGCCTTCGTGTAATGTATAGTTGTGTTTCTTATTCATTGTTGTAACGCATATAATATTATTAGAAAGATTAAGATTAACCTTCTAGTGGAACTTATTTTTACACTTTCACAATCACGATTATCTTCTGTGTCGGCTTTTTTTTTTGCATGGTATTCATGAGAATGTTTGCATTCAAAAGTACGGCGAACAATTTCTTCTTTTTTGTTTTTCTGAAGTTGAGTTTTTACAGTTTCAAATCCATTTTCTATTCTGTGCTTTTCAATATGGCTTGCAGCTAAATCCCAGTTAGTGAAAGTATCACCTAAAACAAATCTGATGTTTAAACAAAGTAATGTGTAGATGATTTATAGTGATAAAACAAATACCTATTTCTAGACTAAATATCTCATAGTTAGCTTTGCTCTCACTATCCATATCTGTATGCTCGTCTATTTCAAAATTCATATTCACATTTGTATTCATATCCATATCCACGTCTGTTTCCACACCCATATCTGTGTCTGTATCTTTACCCATATCTGTGTCTGTATCCGCATCCGTATTCGCATCTGCATCTGTATCTGTATTCGCATCCGTATCTGTATTCGTATCTGCATCTGTATCTGTATCTGTATCTGTATCCAAATATATGTTTTTCTTTTCAAATTCCTTTTGCAAATTATTGATGTTCTCTTCCTCCTCTTCTTCAGAGATATAAACAGCCAAGAAAGGAATTTCGCAAGCACTTTGTTTCATTTTTTTTTTTAATAAAAAAAGTTTTTTTTTTAATGAA